CTACCGTTACTCCTCATTCCACGAGGAGTAACGGTAGTTCGAACTAGGAAGCCTAGTTCGAACTACCTAGTTCGTGCCGTGTGTAGCCGCGCGGCACAGGGTTCGAACGAGCGGGGATTTAAAAATGGCGGCGCCCCGCTTATGCAAATGGAGCCCGGGAAATTCAAATCCCTGGCTTCATTTGCAATTGTGGTATGCCTACATTACCCCGCTTGTTCAAACTAGCGGGGTAGTGTAGACATACCCCTAGGGACCAACCACTATCCAGGCTTACAGGAAAAACAAGGCTGTTCACAGGCTGTTGGTTTGAGTATTGAGCCATTGTGTTTCTAAAGTATCATTAATGACCTTCATTAGGACATCTAGACTTATAACAGATTCAGACTTCATATTTCTAACTTTATATACAAGAATGATACGTGCATAGAAAAAGAAATACACATTCAGCAGATTGTAACTTTAAAAATGGTATGTCAAATGATGCATCTTGCCTAAAGCCTCTTTGAGTTATGCATATTCATAAGCCAGAGTTATTGATTCGAGTCCCACGACTTGAACTTGAGTCCGACTTAAGTCGCCTAGGTGACTCAACTTTAGACTCGACTTGGGTTCATTATTTGTGACTTGAGACTTGACTTGAGACTTGCTAATTTTGTTAAATCGACTTACTGAAAAAATGGTCCAAAAATGCCGATATTGATGGTTTGTATAAAAGTGACTTGACATTTTTTAAATTAAGACTTGAGACTCGACTTGGGACTTGACTCAAAAGTGACTTTAGGGACTTGAGACTTGAACTGTAGTGACTTTTCATTATTTGTGACTTGAGACTTGACTTGAGACTTGCTAATTTTGTTAAATCGACTTACTGAAAAAATGGTCCAAAAATGCCGATATTGATGGTTTGTATAAAAGTGACTTGACATTTTTTAAATTAAGACTTGAGACTCGACTTGGGACTTGACTCAAAAGTGACTTTAGGGACTTGAGACTTGAACTGTAGTGACTTATGAAGACTTGAAGACAACACTGTCATAAGCCAATTTTCATAAACCCCAGGGACTTGGTAACAATGTTGATTGCCATGCTCTGCATTATTATTGTTTTAAAACAACGACAGTATTTCTTTAACTATCTTGACAAGGGGAGAAGAGCTGGCCACCAACAAAAGCAATGTGGGAGCATCTACACTGCATCCTAAGCGCAAAATAAGCTACTCAATTTGAGTTATGCAAATGGCGTAGCTTATTTCAGCTTACTCTCAAAATACCTTATTTCATAATTTGGCGTTGTCTACACAGTGCCAAATTTCAAAATAAACCGCTATTCTGAGAAGTCCCTTAATCTTTGTGGAATGAGGTTTACAGGGACATCAGAATAGTGCCCCCGCTATATTTCAAAATAATGGGCTTGTTGCAAAGTATACCGGAAGTATCACGAAATAGCGCTGCAGTGTAGACGTATACTGGGAGTTTTGCCATTGACTTCAATTTAAAGATGGAAGCATGTCCAATATTAACATCTGATAGCCTTGGGCTATCCCTCATCCCAGTCGTTGCAGTGCTTCAATCAACTGTCGTCAGAGGGATGTAGTCTAGACAAACCCCAAGATAAGGATTTGGTTATGTGTGTGGGGAAGGAGGAGAGCTGAAGATCCAGCCCACTCCAAGTGCACAGGGATTCATAAGACCATACAGAAAAGAGACAGAATTACCAGGCAGGTGAAAGGAGCTGGGAGCCTCCCCTCCATTTGTATGGGAACATTGCCGGCTGTTCCCATCAAGAAGCAAGGGGAAAGTGCTCAGTTTGTTCCATTCCTCACTGTAGCTGGAAAACGCAGGAGGCAGATGAACCTGGACCTGCTCCAGCCAGGGGACATGCACTTCTCCTAAGGATGTTCACTAGTGGTTCATCGACTACTCGACTAGTCGATCGGCACTTCTGCACTTCCTCTTTTCAAAGGGGGCAGCACCGCACAGCTGAGCCAGGGGTTAGCTGTGCAGCACTGTGCGCATGGAGCCTGGGGTCAGCTGGGGGAATGCCGTGTTGGAGCCCAGGATCAGCTGAAGTCCCCAGCCGAGCCCGGGCTCCATGCACTCAGCACCGCACAGCTGATCCAGGATCAGCGCCACACAGCTGAGCCAGGGATCAGCTGTGCGGCGCTGCCGCTTTCAAGTACTCCCGCTATCTGATAGAGGCAGCAAGGGGGGATGGGAATCGACTAGTCAACTAGTCTTTAACATTCCTAACTTCTCCCTTGTTTGTGCCCACTGGAGCTGCAGCAGCCATAAAGAGGCGCTTCTCACCTGTCCCCAAGCTGCTATGATGAGAGAGGGCTCCCAGGACAGCCAGCGTACACTGAACCCTTCGTCCCCAGCACCACTATAGAGCAATGATTTAAATGAAGAAAACCAAAATTGAATTAAGGACCTGAGCAACGCTGGGTACATTTTCTAGTAGTTATATAATTCAGTTTTCAGAACGTCTACGTCTCCAGTGGCATGATTTTCTGAAAATGCTTTTAACGGAAAAGTTTTCTGTTAAAAGCATTTTCGGAAAAGCGCATCTAGATTGGCAGGATGCTTTTCCGCAAAAGCACTTTTTGCAGAAAAGCGTCCGTGGCCAATCTAGACACGGTTTTCCGCAAAAAAGCCCCGATTGCCTTTTTCGCAATCAGGGCTTTTTTGCGGAAAACAGTACTGTGCTGTCTACACTGGCCCTTTTGCGCAAAAGTCTTTTGGAAAAAGACTTTTGCCCGAACGGGAGCAGCATAGTATTTCCGGAAAAGCACCGACAATCTTACATGAGATCGTTAGTGCTTTTCCGGAAATTCAAGCGGCAGTGTAGACAGCTGGCAAATTTTTCCGCAAAAGCAGATGATTTTGCGGAAAAACTTGCCAGTCTAGACACAGCCAACATGTCTAAGAAATGAGGCTGCATTCTATTATTATTATTTATTAATTATACTACCCCAGCACCTGAACATGAGGCTTAAAAATGTAATCTGTAGAGCCAGTGTGTGTTATACACAATGTAGCAGAGAAAACATAGTTAGTGATTGCTAATATCAAAAGTGAATTAATCACCCAACCTGCTGTGGATGTCATGGTGTCTCACTACGCAAATCTTAAGAGTAAAAAATAGCCAAGGGAATGTTTAAAGCGATCTGAAAAAAGTGGGGCAGAGGGCTGTCTATCATGATCTGGAAGCTGCCACTCTGGTAAAACAGTGCTTATAGTGCACCCATCAGCAATTGGGCTTCATTTTTTTTGAGCCTGTGACCGCTTGCAGTCTATCCCAGTTTAAGCACTGGGCCATGGGAAAGAATTTGTAAAGTGTGGGGAAGTGGCAGCAAAAGGATGTGCAGGCAGTGCAGCTTAGTCCGGTCTGGTATCTTTTACCCTGAACTGAATCTAACCCAAGAGAATTCCCTTGGCCAGTGGTGTATTGCACTGACCATACAGAATTCTGCTTTTAGCTGTGCATATAGGACCAGATTCATTTCCAGAACAACTCCAGTAAGATTTTGCCCCAAGTACAACCAGTCCTGGAAATTTAGTCACAGCACCACTTACCCCATTTAGTATTAATAACATGGTTTCAGAGTGGTGTGCAAGGGAGTGGACTTTAACCATGCTTCATAACCTGGCAGCAGACCATGCTTGTAATACAGAGAGCCCCTGGTTGTGCTATTTATTATCTCTCCTGCCCTATGCATGCCAACAGCCTCTGGCACTAATGTGGGGGAAACTTTGAGCCCTCTGAAAAAGTGCCCTAAGTCTGATTCAGACCCAACTGAGCTCCAGGCTCCTTGGGAAGGAATGGAACTTGCTGCTTGGAAGGATCTGTGTAAATCTGTAGCTCTAAACAAGTAGTTTTATTGCTCATCAAGCAGTACTAGTTACTGAATATTAATACGTCTATACCTGTCCCACTAGGGCTATGTCTAGACTGCAAGCCTCTTTCGAAAGAGCGCGTCTAGACTGCACGCGGAATTTCGAAAAAGCAAGCCGCTTTTTCGAAAGAAAGCACCCAGTGAGTCTGGATGCTCTCTTTCTAAAAAGCCTGTTTGCTGTCAAGAACGCCTTCTTTCAAAAGAGCACTTTCGAAAGAAGGCGTTCTTCCTCGTGGAATTAGGTTTACCATCGTCGAAAGAAAAGCCGCATTCTTTCGATTTAATTTCGAAAGAACGCGGCTGCAGTCTAGACACAGGTGAAGTTTTTTCGAAAAAAGGCTACTTTTTTCGAAAAAAACCCTGAGTCTGGACACAGCCTAGGAGAGTGCCCTTCACAATTACGTGGGAGTAATGCAGACACTGTAAGAACTAAAGTTGCAACCATCAGGCACATATTTGAAGACAGGAAAATGAAAAGCAGGTAAGAATCACAATAGACCAACCCTCATATTTCTGTCAAACAAATTGTGAGTGTCCAACTCTTATGTTAAAATCACACACCTGTGCCGTGCTGTTTCCAATTCACTGCACTGCACATTGTTTTGTTTCCCCAGGAAAGGCAATAGTGTAAAATATTTTAAAATCTTACCATTAGCTGTTAGGGTTGTGAAACAAGCGGCAATAATCAGGGATAGCAGCAAAGTATTTTCACCAGTAGACATATTGCAGGTGTACCAGTAGCCAGCGGTCCAGTTCACTGTTTTAAACAGTCAGTAAAGTGCAAAGTTACATCTGTCAATTTCAGATCTGCACTGTTTGCTGTTTAAAAGACACTGAAGTCACTAACCAGTAGCACTTCGGCACGGTCCTGAAATAATGGTTTCACCTTCTTTGACAGTCAAAAAAAACTCTTGCTCTTACTGTAAACTCAAACATTACAACACAATGATCTATAAGAAGGCGTGACATTCTGTAGACTGTCTGGATCTTTTAACCCTGTGCAGGGTTAAAGCAGCCAGATGAGCTGGCTGTTTTGCTCAAAAATTGGCAACAGTTTTCCAATGGAGCAGTTTTCCCCTGGAAAATGCTGATTCAACTAAATCAAAACATTTTGCAGGGGCATTTGATGTAATTGAAATTTTCAATGGGAAATTATTTTGAAATCTTTTATTTTATTGTTTAAAAGCATAGTCAATGATTCGTTATTAAGAATGTTTATGAGACTAACTAACCAAATGTAGCCAATATTTTTGTCTAGAGACCAACCAGTACAATTAGAAAAGGAGAGATATGTACCCTCATACAGGAAGAACGTTTTATGTTGTAGTATGTTCACCCTGCAGAAGGTGTGCTTGCACCAAGCAGGAATTTAAAATTCCATTTGTAACCCCTCTGCTGGGTAGGGCCGGCAGCAACCAGGGCCGGGTTCAATATCTAGGGGGTCCATCTCACACAGAACAGGCTCGAGCCCCCACCCAATAGCCTGGAAAATTCACACCGTTGGGCAATGCTTCCCCACTTGCAAGCACAGAGGCTGAGTGTAGAAGGAAACTTTTAATGAAAGAGAGAGAGAGAGGGAAGTCACATGGAAAATTAACAGAGTTCAACCTCTCCCCCCCCCCCCCCCCCCAACAAGTGACTGTCCTAGCTCAAAAAGGATTGAGAATTGCTTTTTTGCCTCTCAGGCTTGCTAGTCCAACAAGAATAGTAATAGAAATGTAGCCATGTTAGTCTAGTTTAGCTGAAACAAAAAACAGGACGGCTGTGTCTACATTGGCATGATTTTCGCAAAAGCGGCCACTTTTGTGCAAAAACTTGCTGCCTGTCTACACTGGCGGGGAGTTCTTGCACAAGTACACTGACGTTTTAATGTGTGAAATCAGGGCTTCTTGCACAAGAACTATGATGCTCCCGCTCTGGAATAAGCCCTCTTGTGCAACTGTTCTTGTGCAAGAGGCCAGTGTAGACAGGCAACATGAATTTCTTGCACAAGAAAGCCCAATGGTTAAAATGGCACGTCTTTTACGCAAAGGCACATGCCAGTGTAGACGGTCTCTTGCGCAAATACTCTAACGCAAAAACTCTTGCGTTAAAGGGTATTTGCACAAAATCTTGCCAATGTAGATGTAGCTGACTAACAAGATGGTTTATTAGGTGATGAGCTTTCATGGGCCAGTTTTTTTAATTGTATCCTTTGGTATATATGGTTGTGACTATTTTCTTCCACTATTTGATCTGAGGAAGTGGGTCTGGCCCACGAAAGCTCATCATCTAATAAACCATCTTGTTAGTCTTTAAAGTGCTACATCGTCCTGTATTTTGTTTTAGTCCAGCAAGGTCAGGGTTCCATTCACTTACCCAAACTTTCCCCGTACCCCACTTCAAACGCCCCACTTACAGCTCTATCCAGTCAGAGCAGATCCTGACACATCAGCCTGATGACTCCACTCCTTGAGCCTGAGGCTACATCACCTTTGGGCTGCTCTTGTGATCCACTTGCTCTGCCTGCCACCGTTCCCACCAGCCACTCAGCTGGCTGCCTGTCACTGCTCCTACCAGCCACTTGCTCCACTGGCTGCCAAGGGTTTAGCTCCAGGCCAAGCCAGTGATTTCAACTCTTTAGCCACCATCTAGGCTGGAAAAAGATTCCAGCTCCCAGTGGACTAGCAAAAAGACTCCCGCTAGAGTCTGCTTTATGTCTATCCTTAAAACAAGGGGGAAAGAGGCAGGTTAAACCAGTCTTATAGCTCACACCTGGCAGGCATGAGCAGGCTGGATTAAGCCTTTTCCTCCCCAGCTCTGTACACTAAACTCTGGAAGGGGGAGGCTTGTTCATTTGAGACCCCTTACAATGATGGTGTCTCTCCTGCAAGCACTGGTGTCATATTTTACAGTTCCCACATTTAGGGGTAGCATGATTTGTGACCCCCCACAACAGCCCAAATTAGTTACAATACATCACATTCCATTCTAACAACCGATCCTCCACCAGCCCTGGCTGAATTGGATTTACATAACCACACCTCAAATTCCTTCCCCTTCCTGGCATGAGCTGTATTTACATATCAACAGTTAACAGTTAATTATCTTGCACAGCTAAACAATAGAGTGAGCACCCCCACCCCCAGGGCAGCTCTCTCCTTTTCGCTGGCTGATAGCAAGCAGTAGTTTAGCCACATTTAATTGGTTAACCGCAGCCGGAGCAGCCTCTGCCTGTGCCCCCCTCCCTGCCCTCCCCAGGCCTGCCACGGGAGCTGCAACATGCTCAGTCTCTCATGGACAGGGGCTGCTCTGGATATCTGTGGTGGGCCCATGGGGCTGGAGCAGTGCCCTGCCCAGGGTGGGTGGGGAGCTGTTTCAGGCTCTGCTGGTTAACCGGAACCAGTAAGTATAACCCATTAAGAGTGATGCTTACTGGTTAATCAGTTAACCGGTTAACCTTTCACATACCTGATCACAAGGGAGAAAACACTTTACATCGTCTAAGAATGATTGAATACTGTTTCCATTTCTGGTTGCCCCATCTCACAAAGGATATAATGGAATCAGAAAAAGTTCAGAGAAAGACTGTAAAGATGATTAAGGGTACGGGACAATTTTCATACTAAGACAGACTACAAAGATTAAGGTTTTTCAACTTAGAAAAGAGATGACTAAAGGGGAAGGATGGAATATGATAAAGGTCTATAATATTACAATGTGAAAAAATGAATATAGAAGTGTCATTTATCTTTTCACACAATACAAAAATCAAGAGTCAACCAATGAAATTAACAAATAGCAGGCTTAATTCAAACAAAAGAAAGTACTTTTTTAACCAATGCACAATTAACTCAGAGAACTCATTGCCATGGGAAATTGTGTTCGCCAAAAGTATAACTGGGTTCAAAAGTGATAGAAATGTAGCCGTGTTAGTCTGGGGTAGCTGAAGCAAAATGCAGGACAATGTAGCACTTTAAAGACTAACAAGATGGTTTATTAGATGATGAGCTTTCGTGGGCCAGACCCACTTCCTCAGATCAAATAGTGGAAGAAAATAGTCACAACCATATATACCAAAGGATACAATTAAAAAAAATGAACAAATATGAAAAGGACAAATCACATTGCAGAACAGAAGGGGAATGCGGGGGGGTGGGAAGGGGGAGGAAGGAAGGTAAGTGTCTGTGAATTGATGATATTAGAGGTAGGGAGAGTGGGATGTTTGTGAGTTAATGGTATTACAGGTGATAATTGGGGAAACTGTCTTGATAATGGGTGAGAAAGTTCAAAGACTTGTTAAGTCCCTGGTGGTAAGTGTCGAATTTTAACATGAATGACAGTTCAGAGGATTCCCTTTCAAGTGCAGATGTAAAAGGTCTTTGTAGCAGAATGCAGGTGGCTAAGTCATTTAGAGAGTGTCCTTTCTGGTTAAAGTGGCAAGAAACTGTTTTCTCTTTGTGATCTTGTCTGATATCTGTTTTGTGGGCATTAATCCTTTGGCGGGGGGGAAGGAAGGAAGGTAAGTGTCTGTGAATTGATGATATTATGCAGGACAATGTAGCACTTTAAAGACTAACAAGATGGTTTATGATATTGTAGTAAAAACTAAGTGTGCTTCTTCCCCCTTCCATTGCTTAAGCTTGAAACAGCATGTAAGGAGGAGAAGGATTTGTAGTAAAAGAGGAACTAGCTGTTCAGATCCATTTCTCAAAGACTAGACTGCACGTACTACATGAGTCAGGGAAATTTGCTAATTGCTTAAGTAAGCTATACTGGTGGTCGTTACCGAGTGGAATAAAGTTGAAGTATGCTAACCAATAATGCTGCAACACGAAGCTAAGCTAACAAATCAAGACATACCACGTTAGATAAGGAAGTCAAAGAAAGTTATAAAAAGATGCTTAGCCAACGCCCGGGGTCAGCTTTGCTTTGAGCATTGAGTTCCTTAGCTGAACCTTACTTGCAAGTAAATAAACTTGAGTTGGACCCAGCCTGAAAATGTGACTCTCTTCTTGGGGCAAATCAGACTAGCCTCCAAGGGGACGAAACCAGCAATTTATGCAACAATATCACCTCTAATATCATCAATTCACAGACACTTACCTTCCTTCCCCCTCCCCCCCACCGCATCCCCCTCCTGTTCTGCAATGTGATTTGTGCATTCCCCTCCTGTTCTGAAATGTGATTTGTCCTTTTCATATTTGTTCATTTTTTTAATTGTATCCTTTGGTATATATGATTGTGACTATTTTCTTCCACTATTTGATCTGAGGAAGTGGGTCTGGTCCACGAAAGCTCATCATCTAATAAACCATCTTGTTAGTCTTTAAAGTGCTACATTGTCCTGCATTTTGGGTTCAAAAGAGAACTGGATAAATTCACGGAGGACAGGTCCATCTATGAATATTGGCCAAGATGGTCAGGCAGGCTCCTTTACACGTAGGAGTAAAGAGGGCAACTGCCCCAGGGCCCGGTGATTCAAAGGGATCCAGGGCTCCTAGCCACTGCTATGTGGCAGCTGGAGCCCCGAGCCCTTTAAATCATCACCAAAGAACTGCACAGTGTGCTCTGGATGGCACTGCGGGGACGGACATATGGTTCAGGAAGCACTGAGGGCTGGTTGCTCCAGCCCCACCCCTTCACCTGAGGCCCCGCCACCTCTGGGAGTGTAGCCCTGCCCCCCCCTCCAACCTTGCCCAGGGGCCTGGCAAGACTGTTGGCTGGTCTGTGGTCAAGGGTACAATCCCAAACACATGACTACCAGAAGCAAGGAGTGGAAGACAGAGGTGGATCACTCCATGGTTGTCTTGTTCCCAGGAGTGGCTTAAGGTGAGCTGCTGGCAGCTGGTGCCCAAGGCGGAATGTGCAGTTGGCGCCCCCGCCTCCATAGCCCTCAATGGCGTGATGTCATCATTGGGTGCCCCATTGAATGCGGCGCCCTTGGCAACTGCCGAGGTTGCCTGCATCCATGGGCTGCCCCTGCTTGTTCCATACAGTCCCCACAAAGTGCTCCCTGGGCCATGTGGGCTTCCTGATCCAGCATGGCAACTCTTACGATCTTATGCTCCAAGAGCCAGTCCACCAGGCTGTACCAGTTCCTTTTTTCTTACATGACCCAACTATTCCCTGATGCTTCTTTAAAGGCAACTGGGGCAACAAAGGGAGGCACAGATGCCTAGAATGGTTGAGGGGGAGGGGATTAGAGAAGGGCTCTCCAGCCAGTGAACAGCTGCCTGCACCCTCTTGCACAGCCACAGATTGTTGCGTCTGGTGTTTTACCCTGTTCAGGCTCTGGAATGAGAGGAGACCAGCAAAACCAGGTAGGAAAGATGGGGCAGGTGGTGCAGAAAGCCCCTTACAGATGGCCATAGCTCTCTTTGGCTATGTCTACACTGGCGGGTTATTGCGCAGGAACGGCTGTTCTTCCAGAAAGTGTCCACACTGCCCGCCCGCTGTTGCGCAAGAAGATTTACAGTACGGTGTGGTAAGAGAGGGCTTCTTGCGCAAGAGCTATGCTCTTTTTTAACAGGGGTAAGCCCTCTTGCGCAGGAGCTCTTGTGCAAGAGGGCAGTGGGGATGATCAGCAGGGATTTCTTGCGCAAGAAAGCCCTATGGCTATAAAGGCCATCATAGCTTTCTTGGGCAAGAGAGCATCCACACTGCCATGGATGCTCTTGCACAAAAGCACAGCTTGCACATGGCAGTGTGGACATTTTCCTGCACAAGATGTTCTTGCGCAAGAAGCCGCCAATGTAGACATAGCCTTTGAGTGGGTATAACATGCAGTCAGAAAGCAAGACATTTCCATTTTTTCTTTTGGCTCATAACAAATAAAAGAGCCATAACTTTCAGCCATTCTAGCTGGCTGTGTTTAGGGGGGATGTGCATGTGGGGGAAGGTCACATTCCTATTTGTTGAAATTCCCACTCACCCGTTGCAGTGTTCTGTGATCTCACTAGAACTGGGGCGCATGGGGCCAGCTAACTGATGGCAAAGTACTGTTTTTCTCCTGAAATATTTAGTATTTTCAAAGCTAGCATTGGTTTCTAAATATATACAGATATACATTTCACATCAATAGCTGGCTGAATGAGAGCAATATTGGGCAAATGGCTTGAAAATTTGCAACACTGATGGAAAAGTATTACACAAGCAGCTTCGGTGAGATATCATCTGTGGAAGTTTGTTTTCTTTTGGGTTATCAGACTGATGCAATGGGAGTAAAGGACCCTTAACTTTAGGGTTGGGCTTTGAGTAAATATTCAACATATTTTAGACCATTGCAGTCCAATAAGCATATCATTAGAGCAATACCCAGGGTAGTGGGGAGAAGAAAGCAACATGGCAATTTCCTTTGCGTTAGTGCTGGGAGCACATTCCATCAACTAAGAGATGCTTTTAGCTTCTTTAGTAGTTTTCAGTAGCTCACAATCAGGGTACAATAATCCCATATTGAAAACTCTCTTAAGAGCCGTGAAAGTAACAATTGTTTCTGGCTTCGATTGTGTATTCCAGGATAAACTTTCCCCCTCACTAATTCTTGTGGCAGTGTTTCAACAAGCCTTAGCTCCAAAGATTTTGTAGTGTTTTGTCAACAGATAATTTGCTATTTCCCAAGAAGGGCTTTCTGTAAATTATTTGACTTCATGCACCTGTGTTTATTTAGGTGGGTTGTTTCTTTCAGGACACTGAGAGAAGTAGCTTCAGGTATTTTGAGAAGTTGGCAAACTGCTCTGAGCACCTTTTGCTTTTCCCTGCATGGAGTGGACTGATCCACTGAGTTTCTTCCAGAGGTACATTTACCAGTTTCAGGGCCCAATTTTCAAATGTGTGCCCCGAGTTTATGGCTTCCATCAATATTTAGCTTCAACTGCTGGTTTAGAAGCCAAAGACCATCAGTTCAGCAAGGCACTTCATCACATGTATAAATTTAAACATGGAACTAGTCCTATGGCTTATGTACATGTTCATGTCTGTGCTGAACTGTGCCCTTAATCCACTGTTGATCAGGCTCATTTCGATTGCTGATTCATGTATTTTCCCAAATGGTCTTACCAATGGTTAATACACACATTTTTAGACTGGAAAAACATTGCAGATTTATTTTTATTTTTGCATAATAGCTCAATTATAGCAGATTTGCATGGTTATGTACACTCTTGCCTTGAAAGTTTTATTCCTTATACTATTGGAGAGGATTGTTCTTGACTTTGACAGTAGGTAAAATTAAAATTTATATATAAACAAAGGGGTGATGATGCCCTTTTCTACTACAGCTGGATATATGCTATACTGGCAGACTAAATTAAGACAGCACCTTGAATAGCAGCAATAAGTCTAGTTGCTATTCAAAGCTATGGTGTCACATGGAAAATATGTAGAAGCTGGATATACTTTATGCTGCTAGAAACTTTATTTACATTCACTAATCTAACAACCCATAAACAAAATAAATAATTCTTCTTTCATTTACATGCCTTAAGTTCTGGAAGTGTATTAGATTTTAAGTAATGTGCTTTTCTATTTTTGTTGGGATTGCATGCAGCTAACTACTGTTATCAACTAGTACACTGAGGTCCCAGCAGAGACAAAAGCCACACTGTGTTAGGCCTAAAGATTGAGTTTATAGAGCAACTGTTCTCTTTTGCTTTTGAAAAGCATCTCGAAGGTCCCCACCCAGGGTGCTACAGAGTAAAGCTGCTCTCACACCGATCTGCACAGGTGTGTAACAAAGTGTTCCAGCTCAGTTTTACAGAGGTGAATAAGGGCATTTCATGGTATCAATCTCTGCATTCCCATTTCAACAAGCAAAAAAGGGGCAGGAAGGGGAGAAGAGAGGTGTGGATTCCCTCCTCCTCCCCCCCCCCACATACCCTGTGCATTGGATCCAAGAGCATGATCAGTGTATACAGGGGAGTAGTCTGCTGTATCTTAATGCATGGAGCAGACTGTGCAGGTCCTGTGGGTCAGATGCAGCCTAAGGAAACTTTGCTGCATTCCAGCTTTGTGCAGCTGCTAGCACAAAAGAGCAAATTGGTGGAATGACTCAGCAGAAACAACCTGCAGCCAAGTGGGTATTTGCTCTGACCACATGCCTGTCATGTGATACGTTGAACAATAGGAAACAATAGGAAATGAAATAAAATACCCCAAAGGTGGAGGTACAACCATTTCCCATAAGCACCCCGTGTACAGTGCTTCCCAGGGCACTTGTGCAAAGGAAGACACTAAACAGAAATCAAGTCCTCTTTACTGGGGACCCTGCATCCTGTCACACAGTTCACTTCTGAGCACCTCTGATGAGTTATTTTTCCAGGCAATTAATTCAGTGTCAAAAATCCATGTTCATGCCTGCTTTAACTTATCTGGAAGATCTCCCTGCCAGAGCCAGCAATGAACCCTGAAGCTTAAAGTGCAGCAGGGGAGGTTTAGATTGGACATTAGGAAAAAATTCCTAACTGTCAGGATGGTCAAATATTGGAATAAATTGCCAAGGGAGGTGGTGGAATCTCCCTCTCTGGAGATATTTAAGAACAGGTTAGATAGACGTCTGTCAGGGATGGTGTAGACGGAGCTTGGTCCTGCCTTGAGGGCAGGGGGCTGGACTCGATGACCTCTTGAGGTCCCTTCCAGTCCAATTATTCTATGATTCTAGGCTGGGGGAAAGGTATTACAACCTCCATGCAAGCTGATCCCTTTCACCAGACACCTGAAACCAGGGCTGAAAGTAAAATTAATTTCTCCCTAGTACAGGGGAGAAGGGCACACCAGCTTAGGGGAGCCACATGACCTCGTTAAGTAACCCTCCATTCCAGGCTCTTCCCTTCTCCTCCCCTCTCCATGTTACATGGCAAAGCGGAGGATGTGCTGGACGTTTTGCTCCTTTCCCCGGTGCCCCTCCCAGTGGAAAAAGGAGCAAACCCCCCACCTTCTATGCTTCCACAAGCTGTCTCCCCACCAGCTCCATACAGCGGCAGCCTGGCTGGGGGACATGGCTGGGCATTCTGCTCCTTTACCCCTCTGGGAGGAGCAGCAGCACACAGGAAAAGGAGTAGAAAGCTGACAGCTCCTCTGGCTGTGGTACCACTCCCAGCTCCCCTCTTAGCCCTATTCTGAGAGGCAGCTTCCTGGAGGGGCTGTGAATGGTACAGTGTCTTTCCAGTGCACCAAACCAGCTATAAATAGCACAGCATACTGGAGCTCACTGGTCATTTTCCTGCCATTACACCACACTGGCCCATAATGGCTTACTTTTACCTCTGCATGAAGCCATATAAGTGTCTAGACAAGACTCCACAATTTGTTTAGTGTCTCACATTTAAAGTAAAACAATTGTATCTGGTTTTATTTTGTAATACAGTCACACATTTTCCCTTCTACACATTATGAATCATAATTCTGCATGCTCTTTCTTTTCCTTCATTATCTTGATTTTTTCAGGCAGGGTCTTTGTCCAGAACTCCACTCTGTTCCCTTTCAGTTTCTTTGCTTTCTTCTGTTGTAGGTTCAACTGCAGGTATTGCTCATTCGTGTCATACACTGGCCATTCCACCAAACCTTCGCCATTAGGATTTCTGCACACAATGGAATGAAGAGGTGATGCAAAAGACTGGGACTGAGATAGTCCATAACTCCTGAGTCCTCAATTATAATCCAGCCTAGCTTGTAAAGCCACTTCCTTTAGACAACTGTTCATTATATCATGTGAAATAAGCTAATAGGCTCAGATTAGTTTTTCATCTAAAGATTTCCACAGCACAGAAGTCTGCTTTTTCATTTTTGCTGGGACTGGATGCATCTATCACCATTATTGAAGGAGTGCTATTGCAGCAGAGCTACTTCCTACATTGATGTAGGAAAATCCACCTCTCTGAGAGGCAGTAGTTATGTCAAGGGAAGAATTCTTCCAAAGAGCTGGCTGTGTCTACTGCGGAGGTTGAATTGACATAAATATGCCTATAACAGGAGTGCTGCAGAGCCCTTTAGCCCCTGCCAGATTGTGAAAGTCCCTCAAAAACCCTGGATTCAGTAACCACCAGTGCTGTTTATTTATAGATTGTTCTCCCATCCCCTTTCATCATACAGGTTGGCCCTTTTACCACAGGCAGGCAAGAGGGAAGAGCTACCTTTCCCCTCCCCCCATCACCAGCTTCCTTCCCCAGAGGCTTTTATACAGCCCCAGTCTAATTGGGCAGCAGCTGTCTCCTCAGTTAAGGCCAGGTGTTCTCACCAGCTCCAATTTACCTCGTTTAAATTGGAGCTTGATTAACACAGGGCTGGCTCACAAGTTTCGATTTAGTGCCCTGTCAAAATATCACGCAGGGAACTAAATTTTTCACAGACCTGGAGGTAGCTAGGTGAACCTCAGTCTGAGATGTAGATGAGGCCTTGGGTTCCATTCCCACTCTCAAAACGTTCCCAAGTCACAATTCTGACACATTTTTGTGAGGCTCTGGGTAGCAGCTTGCACAGTCATTACCCATGCTCTTCCTGTTCTGTGATTACGCAAAGGACTTAAAGCCTCTAGGGCTGTCCAGGAAGCTCCTTTGCCAACATTACAGTTGCTTAATTAGCTGTTGATTCAAATAAACAAATTCTCTGTTTAAAAAGAAGTAATGAATCTCACCCATTTCGAGCAAAGTTAGCCCAGTATTTCATTATTATCCTGCTGAGATGTTTCTCTTCTTCTGTAGCATCTCTGGAAGCTGGAAATATCAAGAGAGATTTTTTTTTTTTTGCATAGTGAAAACAGGTTCCAGGTGTGGATTCAGAGCTGCTTTGCACCAGACTTTTGACTCTTGATATTTAATAGGCTGTCAATCAAATGACTAATTTCAGGATGGGAATGGGTGTGTGGGAAGTGGGTACGAGAGCATGGGAACGTACATGCCTATAGCCTCCAAAAAGGATTAAGTTAACTTATATTTGTGGATAAAAAAGAAGCCTAGAGATAAATCCATGTTGTCAGGTGAGGACTGGGAAAAATAGTATCACAGACAAAAACTACCCATTACTCTCCTATGCAAAATAGCCATCTTCATTTTGGGGACTCAGAGAATAACTCATGATGGGAAGAGAGAGAAGAAAATACACTATTTTAATTTTATAGTTAGAATTTTGCAAAGCTGATTTAAATATGGCCAAATTCTGTCATCTTGTACACCCACCTGTGCTACTCTGCTGATTTGAGCATATACTTGTCAGCTCACGACACCAAAGGGAACAACATGTGGCTAACCTGCTGGTAACACTAGAACAGTAAATATACATAAATCCCTTACCAAGCATTGACATGTCATCAGTAAGAAATGCCCCTCCAAAGACAAAAATAAGTTCATCTCCATGATCTGCTTTTACAAAATCTGGTTTGAAACTTGCTAAACTTGGACGATGTTGGAATTCGTAAAAGTAGACAGGAGCTCCTGAGTCTAATAGAAAACACAATTAAAATAAAATACAAACCGCACTATAAATACATGAAACTACCAAGCCTATTCAGTGCTGCATGGGGAATTCAAGTTTTCCTTTAAAAAAAATAAATCTACTACAGCAAATTAAGTTTTGCAGTTCAAAGCTAAAATAATTCTAGCCATGTAATTGGAGACTGGAACCAGTTGTTTCTGACCTGAATTTCAGATGTAACATGATCTTCAAACATAAAATGAAGGTAAAGCATTTTCAATCCCCTAAATTTGCCATGGAACCAGCTTTCAGACGAGATCAGCTGAATCTAGAATCGGATCACCTTTAAGAGATGCTGCAAACTCCTGGAAAAGCTTTTCTACCATAGCAAAATTGACAACATCAAAATCCCACTGACACAACTGCCCATCACCACCCCAAAAAGTAGCTGAAACAAAATCAAACAAAACCAACCACATACTCCAAATACTAAGCTGATAGGGTTTTTTACACTGCCACCTAACATAGATACATTGTTATATGTTAATGAGAAGGATTCCAGGACTTCAGGAGTCAAAATGAAAGTGTATGCATAATAAGAACATACATGCCTCCCCCCTGTTCATTATTCATCCACCAAGATTAGGAAGAGCACATTAAAAAGTGACCCAATAATCTTCAATAATGAATACACTTGATAATGCTTGGCCAAAGAGCAGACACAACATTGAAGTCAGATCATGTTTACATTATGGGTGCCACCCGTAGACAAGTGACAATTGAGTTCTGGCAGGTTTGAACTGGTGTGACTTTTTATTTAACAAATATTAACTAGAAACTCACTTCTGTGATAATTAGATGTTTTTATAGCTGGAACAAAAAAGATTGCATCTCCCATCAAATCCAGAAATTGGTCCCGCAGGGCAACAGGGTCATCTGTGTCTCCCAGATATTCATCTGTTATCAGAGACACAACTTCAGCTGGCACAGACTGGAAGGAAAGAAGAGAAGGAGAAATCAATAAAAAACCATGAAAAAGAAAGTGTCAGTCCCTAGAATCCCATATCTACAGTTAGCTTGTAAATACAACAGGGTATTTTTTAAAAAAAAGTCAGAACCTGATAGCCCAGCAATAAATGTAGCTTTTGATACCACCACCTATTTGTGCCCATCTTTGTGTTATGTACATAAGTAGGTGCCCAAGTGTGAAAAACGCATCTATGCCCTTCGGTATCTGTGGGATTTTTAAAAAAATTGTGTGATAACCCCGTCCTGCCCAAAATCCTACCCCAAACCCTAAAAGTTTCACTATGTCTAAAAAGAAAAAAAGAGACATGAGAAAATCTGCAGGCCTCTTACCAGCAGCTGGTTCATCTTTTGTAATAATGAGAGGATGGTTTCTTTATGCATGCCCTCCTTTAAGCCAGGTGTGTTGGATGACTACACAGAAACATATTAAACGCATTCGAGATCAGATGAGATTTGATGATGAAGTTTATGTATAAATAGCCCTGAGTGCCTTAGCAGCTACACAGATTTAGAGAGAAAACCGTCCTCCCCCCACCACATACAAAAAGGACTATGTATCACAATAACTGCCAATCTAGATCAAACTCAAGGTCCATCCACTACAGTATTAGATCTCCAACAGTGGTCAAGCCCATGTAACACAGAGGGAGGTGAAAGCACCACAGAGCTGTGGGTAATCTGCTGATCTCCTTCAACATCAGTCTCATCTGATCGCTAATAGTTAAACACTGAGTTAAAACCTGAAGCATGAGATTACATAACCCTTCTAAAATTACAACAACAACTCTGGATACTCTTGTTATCATGTGCGTGTCCAATCCCTATTGAGTCTTGCTAGCATCTAGTTAAGGTTAGAAAAGTTGATACAAAATATAGAATAAGTAAAGATTTTGCCAAGATTTTAGGGGAAGATAAATCTAGCTATATATCCCTAAAGCTCTGATAAGGTAAATCAAATTCAAGCTATGGGATTTTCCTTTTACAAGAGACTCTCAGATCCGAGAAATTGGAATCTTTGAAGTGGAAAGTGTGAGGCTGTAAATCTGCCCTTGGAGTTGAATTGCAAAGCAAAAAAAGCTGGTTTTTCTTTGTCACTACATCTTTGTGGCATAGAGATGCCTCAAGAGCTGTATTTATTAACAAAGACAGTGGTTTCCACTTGCTTGTTTAAATATTTGATTTTCAGTCTACATTTTCAAGAGTGACTAGTGATCTGGAGTGACTTCACTTATTTTTGAATGTCCAGTCTGAGACCGTATAAAGGTGCCTTATGCCAGAGAGTGATGCTCAGAGCTTTCTAAAAAAAACCACCTGGGCATCCAAAATCACTAGTCAATTTTGAAAATTTAGGCCATCAGACCTTCATTTCCCCTCTCTTTGCTGGAGAATCATAGCAAAATACTTCTATAGTGACACCAGATATTACTATAACCTGAGCTGCAGAAAGAAAGTGGGAGAAGCCAGGTGAGGAATGTTGATCATTAAATTAATTTCCAGTCCTCTCTGATTCTTAGACTTAACTTTCCTCTACTCCAGCCTCAAGCCCAGACATGGTCTACATTTGTAATGGCTGTGATCCATCAGAATGAAAGGCCCTTGGTGACAATATAGCGTATGCTATGTATTTATCTTCCCCTAAAATCTTGGCAAAATCTTTACTTATTCTATATGTGCAGGAGTAGCTCGGGGAAGAGAATGGGGTAGACCTAGGTTAGACTACAATGGGTGACCAAACTTTGTTTTTAATAGGAGAGGAGGCTATGTCCAGGTATACAAGGGTTTGAGAACTGTGCCACTAATAGGCAGTTAATGCAAAGACTGCTGTAGAAGAGCCAATAGAAGTAACTTACATAAGGAAGTATCCAGCCATATTCATGGTTATTTATTCCTATTATATATGGGACAGCACTGAACTCTTTCCTAGCCATTAACTCTTCAGGGTTCTTCTGAATAAATACACCATCAATAACTGCTGGGATGACTGTGATTTGCTGGAAGAGGAACAAAAGAACACATTTTTAGAGCCTTGTGTAGATACAAAATGTGTATCTAACTCTGATCCACTATCTGCAAAAATGGTTCATGGCTATCTGCAGATTTAAAGCGGATAGCTGCAGATTTGCAGGGCTCTATCCATTTTGAGTTGTTATACCTACTTACTGGTTTCCCTGAAGACAATATTGCAAAGTTTCAACTGAGACCAGACTAAGAAATCACACAAATATTATTAGCAGTTATACAGAAAGGAAAAAAAAAAAAGATTCTGGGCCCAGTTCAACCCAGAGGAACCGCTACTGGTGTCTCAGTGCTATTAAAGCGGTGTGCACTGTGGCTGCATTGGACATCTCACAGTCAGCCTCTCCCACCTGTTGCTGTTGGGAGTTCAAAATAATTTCTTCTTCTGTTTTCTTCCTTAGGCAATGAACCATGGCAGCCGAACTGGAGGCGTCACAGCTGGATATGTTAGCAACCATCTGCAATTGATATAAAAAATTACAACTTTTAAAATCTTTTAGGTTCTAGGGAGTTATGGCTCAACAGTAAAAACAATAAAGAGTTACAAGGAATAGAATGTGGAATTATGCAGCTAACATAGCACACACATTCTCAAGTCAACCGTTATTGTGAACCAGTTCTCCACAATAACATGCACCTGAACCAGGGGTGGGCAAAAGGGTCTCCAGGGGCTGGATCCAGCCTGCCAAGTGGATTGATCCAGCTCACGGAGGCCCTGACAGTCCCCCACCCTAGGCCAGTCAGGGCTTGGGAGAGGGGGAGCGCGCAAAGTCTCCTCCTACCCTGCAAGGGGCACGGTGCTTCTAAGTCCCACATGCTCTTTGCAGGACAGGGGCAGGGCAGGAAGAGACTTTGCACTCTTCCCCTGCCTCCAGGCTCTGATTGGCCCGGGGTGGAGGGGAGCATGTGAAGTCTCCTCCCACCATCAGGGGCACTAGCACCTAGAGGAAACCGCCAGGCGGCACGGGCAAAGACTTCACGTACTCCCCCATTCTCAGTCTAATCAGGGTCTGTGGGTGGGAAGCATGGAAGTGTCCTGGCCTTGCCCCTTCTACCTGAGGTCCCACCCCTTTCGGGGCAGCCTGGGGCCACTTCAAAAATTTCTGAAGTGGCCCCCAGTCAAAAATTATTGCCCATCCCAACCTGAAGACCTACAGTGGGATTTGTTGAAACTGCTCATTGTTAGCCTAACTGACTTTAGTGGGAGTAGATTTAGTCCTATGCTGGATGCTTTAAAAAAAAAATATCTCACCCATAGCATAGAATACTAACAGAATGTGCTTATAAATCAGCTTGGTAGATCTGGAATCTAAACAGGAGACCAAATGATAAGTGTAAAAAGGACATTTATTTACCTCACAAAAAAATTAACAAAGCCGAGGCCACTCTAGTTGCACATAACTGATCATCTTGTTTGATCATTGTCGGGTTTTCAGTATAAAGCATTATTTATCTCTTTCTGAACTTCTCAGCTGCTACTGGTATATGTAACATTCATTTTAAATATTCTTAAAATATTTTAGATTACTATTTCATTGGCATAATCAATCTCTAAAATCTTCCATTCCATTGAAAGAATGGAATTCCATTGGAATTGAATGGAAAATTCCATTGCAACAAACTTACTTTCCCCATTGTGAGCCCTCTCTGAGCACATATGAAAACAAAAGTATGAAGTAAAAGGAAGATATATACAAAGTTTTAGGTCAAGAACTGAATCTCAGTGGAAAGGAGGAAAGTGGGGCAGATGACCATTTTCACTTAGGAAAAACAGTATCTGATCTCTGTGGACGAGGTTGCAATATACATGCTCCATAAAGAAGCTCCAGAGAACCTAGCTGCAAAAAAAAAAGTTAACTCCTCCAGGATGAGACAAATTGCTGAGAGAGTGGATGGATGTTCAATTTAACTGTGCTGCTCCATTAACATAGCCAGTAAGAATGGATATAACAGAACCTTAGCAATTGCTTCAGGATGTGAAGTGAACATGGCAGAAAGAAGTGCAACTCCGCTCTCAGAGATGGCTTTGTGGAACAAGCCTTTGGCCAATGGAGATAGTACCTGGAAGACATGGAAAAAAGTAGGGCTCAAACACCATAGTCAGTTTATAGTAGAGATGGACCCAAGCTTCTAATTTCAGATGGAGATGCAAACTCTCTCAGAGTTTGGTGTGGTTGTTCCTATTTTGGGGGCTGGTTCAGTTGCCAGATTTAATGCAATGTAGGAACAAGACGTTGTTATTCCCAATTTCAAGTAAAATTATGGGATTATGTGTGTGTGGGGGGGGGGGGAGGGGAGGGTGGAAAGCCACATCTGTATCCTTATAGCGTTTGAGGGGAAGGGTAGCCTTGTGACTAAAGGTAAGTCAAGAGACAGGAATTCTATTTCTGCCTCTGTCACTGGCCTGATATGTCCCTCAACCACCCTGAGACTCAGTTACACCATCTGTAAAATGGGAATAATAATCCCCAAATTCTCAGCGGCATGATGAGACTAAATCAATCAGTGTTTGTAACACACACTGAAACCCATGAATGGAAAGCAGCACAGAAATGCAAAGCATTATATTAGTCACTATAAAACCTACAAGGACAGAAACACTGATTCCTCCTGCAGACTCTCCAAATATAGTGACGGATCCTGGATCTCCTCCAAAATGTTTAATATTCTCCTGAATCCACTGGAGAGCTGCTACTTGATCCAAAAAGCCCCAGTTTCCACGAGCATGTTCATCACCAGTACTGAAAGCAAGGGGATACTGAGTAAGACCCAACAGACTTTATTTTGTTATTAAGTTTATGGTTTTATCACTAGATAACAAAAATAACCACTTATGTGCATTGTTTAGAATAACTAATGTCCTTAGAAGATATATATTTCTAAGAACCTACCTCTACAAATACCTACAGAGAATGAGCCAAATTCAACCCTGGGGTAACGTCACCTTTCGTTAGTGGAGATTATGGTATGAATTTGGCTCAGTTTAATAAAGTATGTAAACTTTCCCCCATTCGCGGTCTGACTTTTGGCTATGGGCTTCTATGGATTTCTGGGTGATGAAAAAAAGAACAACAAGAGAGTCAATCTTCATCCCGAAATGCAAATCTTGTAAGGGTTTTTGGCAGGTCTATACTTGGAATGCTGCAGCTATGCATCTGTGCCCCTGTAGCAGTAAAGGGCTGGTGCACCTAGACTGACAGGAGAGAGTTCACCTGTATTTAAGCCACCTTCCCGAAATGTAGCAGTAGCCATCAACATAGTGGTGTCTACACAGGGTAGTTAAGATTAGCGTAACTATGTTAACTCTGGGGTGTTCTGCTGACATAGGTTTGTAGACTGGATCTTAGTGCAGTCATTCAAGGGACTCTCTAGAGGTCAGGAACATAGGCTATGCTTTCAGGGTACACTATAGAGTCGCTGGCTATCAACACCACTCACTGTCAAAGCACAAGTTGTCTCCAGGATCCTGAAGTGGCTTCAGCAAAAATAATTACATTTGCTTAGGGTTTAAAACCTTCAAACTAATGAAAATAGTACCAATTCTACCTTGTGCAATAAGCCAGTCAAGTGAAGAATCTCTCTATCTAGTGGGATCCCATGACTGTAAGTGAAGGTACTTGAAAGAATGAAACAATAGGGTAAGCATACTCTTGTGTATCATAGCAGCTGTGTGTTTTAGGACTTCATGGAGGGTCTTTTGAAGAAATGGGCATGTAAAATAGTTCTTTTGGAGGAATGCAGGAGAATAGAGTTCTTACAGTTGATAATTAATAGTTTATATCATTAAAATATTTCACAGGTTATATTTTTTATTTTAAGCTGGATGTGATGATACAAAAACTCACCTGAAGAATCCAAGGATACCTAATCTATACTGTATGGTTACCACCACCAAATTCTCATAAGCAGATAATGCTGATGCATCATACATTGAAGCTCCACCCGTCAATAAAGCTCCTCCATGGATCCACACCATAACCTGAAAAGAACAAATCTTGTTACAGTCTGTCTAACTGTGACATCTCTGATCTCATATGTGAAAAAGCAAATCAGTATATTGTAGATTGAAGTTCTAATGCAGACACACAAGCTGAAGACCAGACATCAGCTAGTGCTTATGTAAACACAGACTATCCTGGCCACTAAAATCCATCCATGGCTAGGGATGGGGGGCTCTCATATAGATTCCCTATTTGGACATAGGCAAATCATTTAACCTCTTCTGCCTTATCTGTAACATGGGAATAATGACAAATAGCCAGATAATCCCCACATTGCTCCTAGGAGCAGCGGGGCCAACAGCCACCACAGGCCCTCGGGCAAGGTGTGCGGGGGGAGGGAGGGGGGAACGGGGGACGGCCAGGCTCCACACCCCCAGAAGAGGCAAGCCTGTGGTGGAAGGGGTAGAGCCGGGGGCCACCAGCCCTCAGTGCCACCCGGACCACGGTGCTTCCCCCCCGCCAGCCCTCAGAGCTGCATGGAGCGGCACTCCGGTGGTGATTCAAAGGGGCCCGCAGTTCCTGCTGCCACTGGTACTACTGCAGCAGTGATGGCAGCTGGAGTGTTGGGCCCCTTTGAATCACCACTGGAATGTTGGGCCACCCTCCATTGGCGAGCCAGCCTAGGAGTTAACTGCTGTTTGTAAAGTGCTATGTAAGTGATATGGCAGGATTCAGATACGCTTCTGGAAGACATTAAGAAGAGACCTGTAATAATTTACATATAAGCCTCAACTATGTCTTTCCAACAAAAACACAGTGCCCTCCCCAACTTTTCAGCTATGAAGGATGTGTAAAAAGCCTGAAGGAGTAGATCTAGGAGAAGGATCTCTCTCCCCTCCTCTGGAGACCTGCCAGAAAAAATTACTTTCAGAACATGTTTATTAAAAACTACTTTTAGCTTTAATTTTGGCTTCAGTGAGCACTTCTAGTACTACAAAATTAAAGGGATTCAGACATTGCCTTGGTAGTTGTCCAGGACTATTGGAGGAGATCACTGAGCCCTTGTAATAATTGCCCATGGTTTGGAAACATTACATTTGTACTGTAGCATTACTTACAGGTAACTTGGATTTCTCATCAGAATGGGCAGGGGTATAAATATTCAAGTACAAACAGTCTTCAGAAATTGAGAAGTTAAATTGTTTAGCTGGAAAAATGTCTTCAAATTGTTCCAGCATTGCCCGGTCTTGTAAGCACCTTAAAGAACAGAAAGGAGAAGAACAATCTTTACTGTTACAGTGACAAAATCATCATCAATTTCACTGGAACGTGCTACATTTAATATATTTTTAAAAACCATTAAAAAAATTCTAATAGTGATTCTTTTTACGTAAAGCCAAATTTTTAAATTTACAGGTTGCAAGTTCTTTCTTCCCATTTTATAGTCTTAACTTGCTAAAGTGGATGTTTTGTATTGGTTTTGTTGATTAGTTTGCTGATTAGCAGAATTTTAATTTTTACATGGAGATTTTTTTCTACTAAGAAGTTTTGTGGTGAGAGCCCAATTCAGCAAACATGTGCTTAACTTCACTGCTGCAGTAGTCTCACTGAAACCATCTTTATGCACTATTTATGATCATATAGTTAGGGTACGTCTACACTGCATGGCTATTTCGGGATACTGGAGGCATCCTGAAATAGCTACCCCCAGGTCTACACAAGCCGTCCATTATTTCGAGATATTATTCAAAATAACAGGCGTGCTATTTCGGCATCCCGGTAACGCTTGTTCCACGAGGGTTAAGGGATGTCTCGAAATAGCATGTTATTTCGAAATGTGGCGCTGTGTAGATGCGCCAAATTTCAAAATAAGCTATTTTGAAATAGATTTGAAATAAGAAACACAATTTGCGTAGTACAAATTGCGTATCTTATTTTGAGTTTAGGGTGCTGTATAGACACACCCTTAATGTCTGTAGGGTAAGAGCATTAAAAAGCTCACCTCTATTAAAAATCAAACACGGGGCTTCATTAACATCCTTACTGTGATAATACCACAAACACAACCCAAAACTGACAGCAAATAGCACGTGCTACATTTTCAACCTGCACTACTTTCCAATGTACTGAACTGCCACAAGTCAAGAAGGATGAAATGCTTCAACCAGGCTATACTCCTCCATTACAGTTTGCACTCTGAAGTCAAAAGGGCATTTGCTCCTTTATGCCTAAAATGGGAATTTGCGTGTATATAAAAAAGTACACAATAACTTGGTTTATGTAGAACTTGGGTTATGTAGAACTTGGAAAGTCTATGCAACTTATCATTGATTAACTTTTTAAAAATCGCTTCACAGCCCTAGTGTAGCAGCTTCTATCCAAGAATCTCAAGCAGAAACTCATCAATTTCTGCTAAGTTTCTCTGTCAGAATTTGAGTGTGGAGGACTTCTATGAAGTAGTCTATCTGATCTCCAGTCACACTCAATAGGATTATCATATCTGTAATGATGTATATCGTTAAGACCTGCGTATCTTAGAAAGCTAAGAGCCCCAGCAGTGTTGTTTCAGGGGTTTAGTGTAAGAATTGTTCAAATGGATTTTGATAATAAAATAGTATTAAACCTGCACTAGTCTGTGTGGCTAGATTTAACTTCAGGTCAGTTTCTCTTTATTGTGACAGCACACTCATTGGGCTGAAATCCTCCCATAGGATAAACATCTTTACCCAACAAATAAATGCAGCTTATTTTGGCCAATAATTTTACTTTTTATAAATGTAAATTTGGAGCACGAGGGTTCTTACATTGGTGGAAAAGAAGTTGCATCTCGGATGCTGATCCATGCTTCAGCTGGTTGTGGTGGGGAAAATCTCAGAGCTCCCACGGGCGGTTTTGCAAAAGGAATTCCAAGAAACACATTTGTAAGTCTGTTGGTTCCCTTGACAGTGACTTGCTTTCCTTGCAGTCGCCCATATTTGGTAACCACTTCTGGTTGTTCGCTTTGCTGGCCTGTGTAACAGAAGATAAACTAAATAATCAAATAAGTGAATGGCCTGATTCAAAGCCCTGGTGGCTTAATGGGCTTTTTTCTGTTGATTTAATGGGCTTTGGATCAGGTCCTAATAGCTAAACACTGGCATCCATTAAATTTGTTTTTCTCCCCTTTTCTTCTAAACTTTCTGTTGTTTTCATTAGCCACAGTAAGTGTAGCTATTAACACTGAATTCTTCCAATGCTGTATACAGTCCCCCTAATTATTTCAGATACCCCCCCCCCATCATTAGCTTTCGCGGTGGGTAGGAAAAAAGAGCACCGAAGGCCACAATACTGCAGTCAGATTCAGAGATGGGCACCAATCAAACCCCCAAATCCATCAAACACCCATCAAACTTTGGAGTGTTGAACTCTGGATCCAATGAGAACTTTGTGACTTGAGTCTAGTGTACATGAAAGCAAGGTGTAAAGTTAACTAAAGAGATTGCAAATGTTATCCTATCAATCATTATACGCAGACCTGCCCCTGAGCAAGCTAGCACACTGACAAAGTTCAATATCTTATCTAATCTAGTAAGTTTCCCCTTTGTCTTTGAAAGCTCCCCTTTGTCTTTGAAAGCTCTAGCAACATTTAAGGAAGAACAGCAAAAATATTTCATGGCTATTCTCGGTACTAGCCACACTATCCCCAGACTGTCAGTAAAGAAAGGTGCATTATTCTCTGTGAAAAGAACCTGCTCTGAAATACAGTAATGAATGAATGGCAAGTTTTTTGTTTTGTTTTGTTGGCACTCCCCTCTACTGCTTTCAGATATCAGAAGCAATGAGGTGCTGAAAAGCACTGCAAAAGTAACCATGGAGTATGTAGGCAAGGATCACTAGATTTTATTGTCAGAGCTGATGTAAGAAAGTGAAACTCTACACAAAAGCTTATGCTCCAACACTTCAGCTAGTCTATAAGGTGCCACAGGACTCCTCGCCGCTTTTGCAGATTCAGACTAACACGGCTACCCCTCTGATACTGGAACTTAGTGGATAAACCTTTGAACTGAAGTTACACAGATAAGAATTAGACCCAAGAACACTGCTATAGAATCAAACAGCTAAATAAAAGCTCAAGTAATTTGATCGCTGACCCTGCAGAGTTAACCATATAATAAGCAGCCTTCACGTGTGCTCCTTGATTGAGTTTGATAGACAACTTAACATTTCTGCTTTCAGATCATGCAGGTTTCTCTTCAAATATTTGATCTAATAAAATTAGCTTTTAGAAAGACTTTTGTGACAAATGACCAAGAAATTTACAGACTCAGTCACCCATTATCTCTGTAAAAGTTAAATAGATCAATTCCTGAGGATAATACACCTTTGTCTCCCATGCAAATTAGATCTTGAAAAGTGTCTGCCAAATTCATTCGAGGAAAAATTAAACTAAAATAGGATTTTGGTTAGGCTCCCAGCAACACAGAATCAAACAAACTGATAGATGGAATTCCTGAATCCCACTCAATGTTTGCCTTTAAAGTAAGACATTTCTTTCATTACCTTCAACTAGGATTGCGATCACCCATGCTGCACAAAGCAGGGACCAAAACAGGGAACTCCTACCAGGAAATGACATTTTCTTCTGTGCACTTGAACAGGGTGTTGTCTTCTTCGTTTTAACTGTTGAAAAAACAAGCCCCAGGGGCCCAATTATTAGCTCTCAATTACAGTCTCTTTCAAACACATGGTAGAAATGGGTTGAAATTTGTTTTTAAATCCCAGTTTAAACTATATCCCTGACTTGAAAATAAGCCAGTAGTTTCTGGGGGAAGTCAGTGTGGTATCTGCCACAGAGACGCACCTGGGAGTAATGATCACCCCCTTTGTCCCTCCCCCATTTCCAGGCACACCAACGTCAGTCATTCTGAGTTCCTCTTTGCAATGGCTTTCTGAAATGCAGGCAGGAGGGCAGTGGTAGCAGTTGTAAAAACTATCTGCAAGGAAAAGCTGATAGGACTCATGACAAAATTAGGTTGTTGCATTGAGAGTATATTTCTACAAACCTGCATTTATTCCCACAAAGGGGACATTATTCAATATAACAGTCACAATACATATATGTGAGAGGAGTGCATATCTAACTGGACACTCCTCTCAGACTCAGAGTAAGCGAGAGGGGGGCAACCACTTGGGGGAACTCTCGGAGGCTCCTGCACATAGACAAAGGGTCAACTTCTCCTCTTCCTTTCCCCTTGCAAGGGAAGAAGATCTGTCTGAAAAGAAGGCCAGTCTCTCAGACAGCCCTAACACATTCAGTTCAAATGGTTTGGTCTCCCAAATTCAATAAACCTTCTTCTTCTCTTCCTGGGGTGTATTGCCTTACTGTCAGTCGAGGTGACTTTGGGAGCTGTGTCTTGCTGCTGTCTCATCAGCTGGACTACCTGTGTTACCAGCAGTCTTTGCATGTAGCAGCATTCTTCCTGTTCACTGACTTTGGTAAATTCCCCCTTTCAAACTGTCTCCACCAGGCTAACAAGCCTAGCAGGTATATCTCGTTAGCATGGAACAGGCCCAGGCAAGTTTGTTAGCCTCTTCCAGCTCCCTCCACCCAGGTTTCCCCCTTCCCTCTCCCACCCTCTCTCTTCCCTTCTCCCACCTCCTTTTCCCAGTCTCCCCAGAGGTTAATTCCCCCCCACGCCCAGTTTTGTTAAAAAAAGAGAGTTTCTATTTTTGAACACACGTGTCCTTTATTTTTTACATCAGGAAGGGGAGCTAGGGAGGGGTAAGTGGAAGGAGGTGAGGGAGGAATGGGGTATGAGCCCCCAATGGGGAGGACTGGGGTGGCTCTGCGGGCTCCTCAGGGTGGAAGCTCTCCTGCAGGGTCTCCTGGATCCTGACAACCCCCTGATTGGCCCCCCCCCGGATGGCAGCCTGCGGCAAGTGCAGCCAGGCTGATGGCCGAGTGCTGTGATGTGCCGATTGTGGGCACTCAGGGCACTCCAAGACAGGACTGCTTTGCTGCCCCTCATCGAGGTAGACAAGCAAGTGGGCAACCCTGAGAACTGTCTGTCTGGGGTGGGGGTCAGGTCCCTTTAAGCACAGCCCTCTGCTAGCCTGAGGCAGCAGCTCCACACTCTAAGTCCTAACCTGAGGCCCTGCCGGCACTTGTTCCGGCCAGCCTTAACTTCGGTTCAGGGTCCACTCAATGTGGACATGCTAGTTCGAATTAGCAAAATGCTAATTCCAATTAGTTTTTAGGTCTAGATGCACTAGTTCGAATTAGCTTAGTTCGAATTAACTAATTCGAATTAAGTTAGTTCGAATTAGTGCTGTAGTGTAGACATACCCTAAGTGATGTTGGACCAGCTATGGCCTGTCCTGACAGCTGAGCAACACTGCTATAACCTCCCCAATTATCAGAGAGCTCTTCATTCCCTGGTACTGATAATGGAATTTCACCACTGTGCACCTGTCACCCAAATTCCAGTTCTGCCTAAACTGAGGTTACCAGAAGGGCTTCCTGTGCCCTCCAAGTTTGAGAAGGTTCATGTGGTAAAGCTTGGCTTCCTTCCTCATCCTACGTAGTCTTATCTCATAGACCACACGTTCTACCTGCTTGACCATCATGAACAGAGCTTGAACAAGCCATTAATTTAGACTTGGCTGAGAGCAATAGTTGAAGAACATTGTCACCTGCTGAAAAGACCATCGTCATACCTGCCTATTGTAATTTTGCTCCTGGAGTGTTGGGTTTTCCTCAGATTCTGCCTGGTGAACAACCTATGTTTCTGAACTGCTCACTTAACTGTATGATTGCTTTTAAGCCCCCTCCCTCCCAAATATTGTTTTTCCCATCCTTTTTGTAACAGATTCGAGATACCCCACAGTTGGTGACCTTACAGCAATTGAAATGGGGAGATTCCTGAAGGACCTCCTTTATGGGAAATAAGAGGGGTAGTGTCACCCCCAAAAAAGAATTTTGGGGGCAGCCCTACAATAATCTGCCTATCACCTCTTTAACCTGTCCTTCCCCAGATACGAGTTTCCAGGGAAGTTAAAGAAACTCTAAAGGACATGGATAAAATGACTGACATAGCACCATTTTCTTCTAAATAACATAGCTTTTATCATGTAAATAATATCTTCCATAATATAATCTAAAAATAAAAATCAGACACAAGTCCCTTACTGCAAATTAAAGGGCAATCAAACTGCAGTCTCACACAGTTTAATGATACTGAGTGGATGCACTCTGTAATGGCCAATTACAGTTGCAGTTCTGAAATGTACTCTAAATTTTACCTGGGTAACTTGTGATTAACAACACAGTTTTTTGCATCTGCATTAACACACACACACATTAATAATAAGCACTACCCTACACTTATATTATAATTAAAACTAATGGACTTACATTGTCCACCGACTTGAATTGCTACTGCAGCGCTGATGGTTTTCCAGATTATTCTGCTCTGTTCTGCTCTTTAAAGTCAGTTCTCTGCTTGATTTTGTTGTCTGTTTTTCCAGTAGCCACTCTCCTTTCTCCTCTCCTCTTCTCTGTCAACTGTTCTAACCCTCAGCCTTTTATATTGTGCTGTCAGCTATCAGATCTTTACTTCACATGCTTATCGCTAATTGTAAACCACAGAGTTTTGCCGCACCTGTTTGGCTTTGTGCCAATTCTATGATACAACCCCCTCCCCCCCACCCGCTCCCGTTTTTTTCCCCAGCTGAACTTTTGACTTTTTGGCCTACTTTCCACAGAGAAGTACCATGAGACCTGCTGCTTTCAGTGGCGAAATGACATTTACCAATTCGAAATGGAAGCTAGGGTCACAGAAGGAAGTCCAGGGAATTTCTCCAGGATCTCTGAAGTAGCTAGTCCCATTATCTGGGTTTGTCGATGACAAAGCGCTTCAACATCCCCTTCAGGCTCTTATTTAAACCAGTCTACTAGTCCCTCACTCTGGAGGTGGTGCACTGAGGTCTTCAATGTTCAGAAGGGAACATAATTCCTATATCAGTTGGGAAGAGAAGTTAGTCCTGTGGTCTGTTAATACATCACGGGGAAACCTTATGTATGAGAAGGGCATCAAGTGCTCTGGATCACTAGCTGTTGCTTTTGAGGAACACAGAGGTATAGCCTCTGGATACTTGCTTGCCAGCAGGTCAGTATAAGAAGAGATGCAGAGTCAAAGCAAGAGCAATTCTTTGCTGGAGCTGGAAGAGAGCTGATGGTGCTCTGGACTCCACTGGGACAAGGCCTTAAGGCAGGGCTGAGCAATAATTTTTGATGGGGAGCCACTCCAAGAATTTGGAAAGTGGTTGAGGGCTGCACTCTTCCATGATATTGATGGAGGAGGTGCGGGGTCTGGGATACAGGTTGGGTGTAGAAGGGAGCTTGGGATAAGGAATGGAGTTTGGGTGAAGGAGGCAGTTGTGACCTGGGGCACTGGACTGAGGTGCAGGGGGTTGGATTGTGACCTAGGGCAGGGAATTGGGATACAGCAGGGGGTGCAGGGATTTGGGTTGTGAGCTAGGGCAGGAGAGGACTCTGATCTGGGGCAGGGAATTGAGGTGCCAGATCTGGGAGGGGATATGGGTGCAGGAGGGGGGAAGAGGATTTGGTATGTGGAGTGAGGGGCAGGGGTGCCAGAGGCAGGGTCTGGCCAGGAGACTTACCAGCCAGCAGCTTGTTCCAGAATCAGCTTCCCTGCCTGCCAGTGCTCCCTCTATGCTGCATGGCAGCCCAGCTTCACAGATGATTAAGGAAATCATCTGTAAAAACTTGGAAAGTAGCAAGGTGATAGGGAACAGCCAGCATGGATTTGTAAATCATGTCAAACCAATCTGATAGCTTTCTTTAATAGGATAACGAGTCTTGTGGATAAGGGAGAAGCGGTGGATGTGGTATACCTAGACTTTAGTAAGGCGTTTGATATGGTCTTGCATGATATTCTTACCAATAAACTAGGTAAATACAACTTAGATGGGGCTTCTATAAGGTGGGTGCATAACTGGCTGGATAACCATATTCAAAGGCTACGTCTAGACTGCCATGATTTTCCGCAAATGCTTTAGCGGAAAAGTTTTTCCGTTAAAAGCATTCGTGGAAAAGAGCATCTAGATTGGCATGAACACTTTTGCGCAAAAGCACTTTTTGTGGAAAGGCGTCCGTGCCAATCTAGATGCGGTTTTGCGCAAGAAAGCCCCGATAGCCATTTTTGCCATCAGGGCTTTTTTGCGCAAAACACTTTTTAGCTGTCTACACTGGCCCTCTTGTGCAAATACAATTGCGCAAGAGGGCTTTTTCCCGAACGGGACCAGCAGAGTATTTGCGCAAGAACACTGACAATTTTACATTAGATCGTCAGTGTTCTTGCGCAAATTCAAGCGGCCAGTGTAGACAGCTGGCAAGTTTTTCCGCATGCTTTTGCGGAAAAACTTGCCAGTCTAGACACAGCCAGAGAGTAGTTATTAATGGTTCACAATCCGGTTGGAAAGGCACAACAAGTGGGGTTACGCAGGGGTCTGTTTTGGGACCGGCTCTGTTCAATATCTTCATCAACGATTTAGATATTGGTATAGAAAGTACTCTTATTAAGTTTGCAGATGATACCAAGCTGGGAAGCGTTGCGACTGATCTGGAGGATAGGGTCATAATTCAAAATGACCTGGACAAATTGGAGAAATGGTCTGAGATAAATAGGATGAAGTTTAATAAAGACAAATGCAAAGTGCTCCACTTAGGAAGGAACAATCAGTTTCACACATACAGAATGGGAAGCGATGGTCTGGGAAGGAGTACGGAAGAAAGGGATCTAGGAGTTATAGTGGACCACAGGTTAAATATGAGTCAGCAGTGTGATGCTGTTGCAAAGAAAGCAAACATGATTCTGGGATGTATTAACAGGTGTGTTGTGAGCAAGACACAAGAAGTCATTCTTCCGCTCTACTCTGGGGTAAAATTGGAGAGGGTCCAGAGAAGAGCAACGAGAATGATTAAAGGTCTAGAGAACATGACCTATGAGGGAAGGCTGAAGGAACTGGGTTTGTTTAGTTTAGAAAAGAGAAGATTGAGGGGGGACATGATAGCAGTTTTCAGCTATCTAAAAGGGTGTCATAAAGAAGAGGGAGAAAACTTGTTTATCTTGGCCTCTGAGGATAGAACAAGAAGCAATGGGCTTAAACTGCAGCAAGAGAGGTTTAGGTTGGACATTAGGAAAAAGTTCCTAACTGTCAGGGTGGTCAAACAATGGAATAAATTGCCCAGGGAGGTTGTGGAATCCCCATCTCTGGAGATATTTAAGAGTAGGTTAGATAAATGTCTATAAGGGATGGTGTGACGGGGTGAAGCAACCCCGTCACCCGCAGACACCCGGTACCACGGACACCGGCGGAGAGCCGGCGGGGGTAGCCCCAGCTGTGCTGCCGTGCGCGGGAGATGGGGCAATGACGCGTCATCAGGACGCACCCGGGGAGCCCAGTGAGATCACCGGCGCGACGGGAAAAGGCAGGGCAGGGAACCCGGAAATGGGAGAAGGAGCGTTGGCTGGCGCGGAGCACATAAGGGTGCCCGAGGCAGAGACAGGGGAGGAGGGTGATCGGGAGGCAGGGGAAGTAATCGGGGCACGAGGGAGTGCGGAGGCAAGGAAGGAGGGTCCGGTGGGAGAGGGCTAGCCGCCCGACCCACGACGAAGACTGTGGGCTGAAGGTAAGAGCCCCACAGCGGGGTGGTATTGGCCCAGGGAGGGGTCACGAAGCCCGAGAGCAAGTGTGTTTAGGGGTAACCCCCCCGCTTGCTACCATTGGGAGCTGTGCTCCCGGTGTTAGGGCCCTGGGCCGGGGTCCGGAGTGAGGGTGGGTCCGGACCCTCACCCCGCCCTTGGGAGGGCGATAATCGTGTGGTTGACGTCACGAGCAGAGTTCCAGAAAGTACCTTGTGACAGATGGTCTAGACAGTATTTGGTCCTGCCATGGGGGCAGAGGACTGGACTCGATGACCTCTCAAGGTCCCTTTCAGTCCTAGTATTCTATGATTCTATGATTTTGATTCTATGATTCTATGATTAATCAGTCCCACCCATTCAGTCAGCTCCATGCACTGAGCCCTGAGTCTTTTACTGGGCGGAGCTGATTAATCACCTGTGAAGCTGGGCTGCTGCACAGATTAGATTAGAGGAAACACTGCTGCCTGCCTTGTCCCTGTACAGGCTGCAGCCATGTGCTCTGGAGCCCCTTCTGCTTCATGGCTGCCTGTTATTGAAACAGGAAACTCCCATTGGCCAGTTTCTGGGCAGAAACTAGCCAAGGGGATTGTGCTGGGGGTAGGAACAGCTCCCAAAGCTTTCCCTCCTCCCCTCTGGACTCACAGTTTTAAAGAAAAACTGCCCCGCAGACGTGTTTCTAAGCGGCGTGCAGGTGGGGCGAGGCAAGCGGGAACCTCCCTGCTGCTCCACGCAATGTCTGCAGGCTGGATCCGATGGCTTGGTGGGATGGATCCAGCACGCGGGCTGTATTTTGCCCAACCCTGCCCTAAGGTAAGGGTGAAGAAGGTGCTGAGGCCATGGGGAAGTGGCCTGGGGAATTACAGCAACAACATAGTTATTTAAAGACAGCTGCTACCTACCGGGCCCCTGAGCTGGGATCCGGCGTACAAGGTGGGTCTGGATCACCCCCGTTCCCTCATTAGTCACTATGGGTATGTCTACACTGCCACCCTAGTTCGAACCAGGGTGGCTAATGTAGGCATTCAAACTTGCAAATGAAGCCCGGGATATTTAAATCCTGGGCTTCATTTGCAAGTTCGAATGCCTACATTAGCCACCCTGGTTCGAACTAGGGGGCTAGTGTAGACAGACCCTATGTGGGGGGGAAGTGGCCTAGACAGTGAGGCACCTCAGAGCAGGAACTGAACTATAGTGACCCAGCTCGACAGCTGAGGCTAGAAAGGCTCTGAGAGAGCGAGGATGCTGCCTCCAGGGAAGGAGCCAGGGGGCACAGAAAGAGACATTACTAAGAAAGGCCCTATTTGACTTGTGCCCCAAAAGCATTTCACTTTGTTATTTCTACTACAGGTTGAACCTCTCTCGTCCAGGACTCCCTGGTCCAGTAACATCCATGGTCTGGCACCATAGATGTTGCTAGACCAGAGAGTTCCAGACACAGAAGTTGAGAGCAGCTGGGAGCGGAGGCAGTCTGGCTGTAGGCAACCTGCAGGGGCAGTGACCTGGGGATAGAGAGCTGCAGTGTACATGGGGATGGGGTTGGGAACTCCAGGAGCAGCTGCTGCTGTGTGGGTGGGGTCAGGGGCAAGGAACCCCAGGAATGCAGGAGTTGGGGAACCCTGGGAGCAACTTCCATCCTGCATATGCGGAGCAGAGCCCCGCAGGTTGGCTGGTGAGGGTCAGGACTCTGGATTCTCCTGGGGTAGCAGCCACGAGGAGAGCCCTAGGAGATCTCAGATGCTTGACCTCCCCGGTCCGGCAAATTCCCTTGTTCTGAGAGTGCCGGACCAGGGACGTTCAACCCGTACAGACTGTATGTGACTCGGCCTGAGGGCTAAGTCACTGGA